AGAAACGGCTTTGGCCTTCGCCTGGGGCGCCCCACAGAGGGCCTCGCCCTCCGTGCAGCCCGTCTCTGGCAGGCAGGCAGGCAGGCTGGCGGAGGGCGGCGGATGCACGATGGCCGCGGGCCCGCGGGCGGAAGGGCGGCGGGAGCAGGCGAGCGACGCCAACGTTTCTGGATTCTCGGGAGTTTAGAGTGGGCCTCCCCCCTTCTCCTCCTCCTCCTCCTCCTCCTCCTCCTCCTTCGTCCTCCTACCTCCTTCCCTCCCTCCTCCTTCCTCTTCCTCCTTCGTCCCTCCTTCCTCCTTCCTCCTTCCTTCCTCCTTCTCCTCCTCTTTCCTCCTTCATCCTCCTCTTCCTCCTCCTCGCTCTCCTCCTCCTCTCCTCCTCCTCCTCCTCCTCCTCCTCCTCCTCCTCCTCCTCCTCCTCCTCCTCCTCCTCCTCCTCCTTGCTCTTCGCTCCTCCTCCTCCTTCTCTTTTCCGTCATCCCCCTGTTCCGCGGGGCCAGTCCCGACCAGCAGCTCCGTTCCCAAGCAGACGCATGCACAGACGCTCGTTTCGGGTGCCCCCCCCAACCTGCGACGTCGTGTTTTTTTACAGCGTCGACCCCCAAAAGTCTGGACCCTTTCCCCAGGACAGTTTTTCATCCTGAGTCGTTTTTCGACTGTCCTGAGGCCTCGGAAGGGCTCCCGGAGGCCGAACATAGCCAAAAACTTCCCGCCGTGATTTGTTCACAACGCGAGGGGGTCTGGGTCTTTCGACCGACAAGCTCGAGAGCAGCGCTTCTGGCTCCCTGGAAACAGTCGCCGGTGCAGGAATCGGAGCTCAAGAGACGGGGGTCAGTGCAAACGGAGGTCAGCCAGAGCGCCGGATCTTGCAGGATCCTGCAGGGCCAGGGCTGCACTGACCCGGGCTTGGGTGCAGGATCCTGCAGGATCCTGCAGGATCTTGCAGGATCCTGCAAGGCCTGACTGACCCGGGTCTGGATTGACCCGGGTCAGGAGATCCCTGAAGGAAGGTCGGGGTGGCCACGTCCTCAGGTGCTCCGCCGCGTCCGGCGCGACGAACGGCGCCTCGGAGGCGAGCTCGGACGGTCGCGAGGTCGGGCGGGGCTGGGATTAAGTCGGGCATGTCTCTCTACAGGGGGAATAGTAAAGATTTTGTTTTGATAGTCTGGGGGCGATTTGCTCGTGCCCTTTTGATTATTTGACGACTTTCTGACTATGGTTGAGTTTGTCTTCCAAATCCGCCTGTAGGAGGACATGCCCGACCTGAGGCTAGGACAGGGGTGAATAGTTTCGGAAAGTTCCAGAACACTCTCAGAGCGCTCCAGGACGCGCCGAGAAGACAGCGGCGCCCAATACTCGAAGAAGACGAAGACAACGCCATAACCATGCATTTTTGGCGCTCCGCGCGGATTTCTTGGATCCGCGCTGGGCCTCCAGCGCCGCCCCTGGCGCGCTCCGCGCGCCAGGGAGCGGGGTCCCAGCGCAGATCCACGAAATCCGCTCGGAGCACCACAAGTTTGTGCTCATGCCGTCTTTTTTTATTCACGGCGTTCCAGAGCATTCTCAGAGCGCTCCAGAAGGCGCCGAGAAGACCGCGGCGCCCGGCACAGCTTCCCGCGCCGACGGATCTCAGAGATCCCCGGCTCACAGTCAGGGCGCTGAGATGAGGACACTGCAGGGGCAACGACAGGGGGGGATGGGCATCTGGGGGGATGCATCGACCCCCAACCGCCCATCGATCGCCGATGGGGGCCCGATAGCCCCAGCCTGCCCAGGAAGGCGCGGATTCACGATCGGGGGCCTATCGCCGATCTATCGGCGATGTATCGCCGATCCCATGTCGACGCATCCCCCCCCCTGTGCCGGTCCCCCCCCCCTGTCTCCGAGGTGGGAACTTCTACATGACCACCGCCTGGAGGATCCGTTTTCGGGGACCTCGGCAGGCGGCGGACATGGATATATCCGGGCCCCCGGGGGCCAAAACACATCCATATCCACCGCCCGCTGGGGCACCAGGGTCCTCGGTCCCCAGGCGGTGGACATGGATACATCCCCGCCTCGCAGCTGTCGTTGCCCCTCGACACCCCCTCTGAGATCCGACGCTCCACAAAATTGGAGCGGCGGGATCTTGGCCGCTTCACCCTCCAGGGGCCCTCGCCGGGCCTCGGGAGCGTCAGAAAACGACTCGGATCGAAAAACCGGTCCCGGGAAAGTGGTCCGGACCTCTGCCCTGACTCCGGATCCGCCCTACTTTGGGGAAATTCGTAAGTAGGGTTTGGAATTTCCGCCTTACTCTTCAAGCCCCGCTGATGCCAGTTTCCGCCCTACTTTTCTGTTGCCGTTCCCGCCCTGCTTCCGTGGATTTCCGCCCTACTTTATGTTGGGTGCAGAAATTTCCGCCCTACTTTTTCGGCTTCTTATAGGTGGATTTCCGACGCAACTTGAAGTTGGGAAAAAAGCCAAAGTAGGCGGATCTGGAGTCAGGGCCCCCCTTCCCCTCGCTCGTCGGGGGAGCGCCAGGCTCGAGTAAGCCGGAGCTCGGGCTTCCCGACGTTCCCAGACCTCCTCGCGTCGTGAAAAACATCACGACGGGAGGTGTTTCGCTATTTTCGCCCTCTGGAGGTCCTCACCGGGCCTCGGGACCGTCAAAAAACGACTCAGGATGAAAAACCGGTCTCAGGGAAAGGGTCTAGACCTCTGGGGGTCGACGTTGTGAAAAAATCACCGTCGGATGTCTGGGTTTGTGTCGACGACCGTGTCCCGCACTTTGACTGTCCGGGTTTCGTGGGGTGTTTGCGGCGGGGGCTCGCGTCGAATTGCAGACTGGGACTCGTCATTTTGATGATGGCCCCGTCGGGCCAACGCGAGTCCCCCGTACCCGAGTCTTGCGTCTCCCCTCTCTTGGTGTTCCCTGTGGCAGCGCGATGGCTGCACGCCCAGCAGAAATCTTCAAAACAGAAACATCAGCTTTCGTGGGCCCCATCTTTTGCGGGAGAGGGTCAGGAATCTGGACTGGGCCCTGCGCATGGTCTTAGAGCTTCGTTTTCGTTACAACAAGACAATGCAGTCGGACCGAGGAATAGGATCGAGGTCGGTTCGGGGAGGGTACCCTAATGTTCTTTGTGTTCGTTGGATGTTTTTTTGTGCACCGTGGGGAGAGTACCCTTGGATGTTCTGTGTGTTGGGCCAGCGGAGGGTTTCGTGTTCTTCAGGGATGTTTTTCTGGCCTAGGTCCGACTGTACCTCTGGACGCGCATTATGCTTTAAGAGAAAGTTCGGAGTGATAACATGTTCTTCACTCTAAGCAGGGGTGTGTGCCCGCCACGCGCAGAGGGGATAGGGGGAGGGTGGAAGGCTTCTTAGAAGCACCCATTCTTCGTGGAAGGCGCGGGCGATGTAAGGCCGGCGCCTACTAAGAAGCAGCCTCCTTCTAAGAAGCCTCCCCCCTCCCCCTACCCCCTTGTGCGCGCCGCCAAGGAGGAGGAGTAAGAGGAGGAGGAGGAGGAGGAGGAGGAGGAGGAGGAGGAGGAGGAGGAGGAGGAGGAGGAGGAGGAGGAGGAGGAGGAGGACGAGTTCCTGGCCTGGCGTCGCCCTGCGAGGTGGCCGCGGTGGTCAGCTTCAACGTCGCGGAGCACGGGCACCAAAGGCCCTCGTGTTGTCGGGGCACGCCGGGTGCAGAGGCGGTGCGAGCGGGGGCCCGTCGCGCGGGCTCGGGTTTTGGTATCCCCTGTCGTTCGGGAGCGGTCGCGACCTGCCCTGGTGCTCGGAGTCGGGGAAAGGTACCGACGCCGCTGCCCTTCGCCCGTGTTCCTCATTTTGGGCCTCCCGGGAGGCCCTCGTCGTCACCGCTGGATTCGCCTCGAGATTCTGGCGGGGACGCACCCCGGGAGAGGTCCAGGGGTTAGCGGCGGTATTGGTACCTCATGTTTTCCCCAGGTCGGGCGTTGCTTAAGGGGGGCGATGAAACGGGGGGGCGGAAAAATGTTCAACGTTCGTGCCCCTTCTTTGGGCCCCGGGGGTCGCCGTTGGGGGCCCTGAGGCGCACAAGAGGAGCACCCACTTCTCGTCACCCTCTTGATTATCGCCCCCCCATTAAGCACCGCCCGACCTGGACGCAGCAGGCAATGACCACTTGGCGGCTTCGGGACTCGAGGTGGGGGGTGGTGTTTCCCCAAGAACGCGGTGGGATGTGCCCAGCTGCTCAGTGCTCAGATGATGCTGCTGCACGAGTGCCGAAATCCCTCGACCCCAGGAGGAGGCGGATGAGCCCAGGCCGTCCGCGATGGCCTCCGACAGCGAGGATGAGCCTGACGAGGACCGGAGGGACGCCCCCCCTGGCAAGCAGACCGCTCGTCATGCCCTCTTGTCTCCTCTTCCTCCTCCTCCTCCTCCTCCTCCTCCTCCTCCTCCTCCTCTTCCTCCTCCTCCTCCTCCTCCTCCTCCTCCTCCTCCTCCTCCTCCTCCTCCTCCTCCTCCTCCTCCTCCTCCCCGCCCCCCTCCCTCAACCCTCCCCCGTCCCCCCCCCCGTGGCCACTTCCTGCCCCCCCCACGCTCCCTCCCGCTCCCCCTCCTCCGCTTCCGTGGCCTCCTCCCCGCTCACCTTCACTTCGCGGTGGCCCTCCTCGGCGGGAATCAGGAGGAGGTAAGAAGGAGGAGGAGGAGGAGGAGGAGGAGGAGGAGGAGGAGGATGAGGAAATGGGGTTGGTGCGAAGGTGGAGAAGGAGGCCGAAGACGACGCTGCGCCTCTGTTCGCGGCTCGATTTGAGGCCTTCGGCGAGGGCTGCCGACTAGATCGTATCGAGCTGGCAGTGCTCATGCACACCCATCGATCAGTAGGTACGTGTGCAGGCTAGTAAAGACCCTCGAGGATGGCAGTAGGGAGGAGGTGGTCGCGATGTCTGATTTGGTAGCGGAGGCAGAGGAGTTACTACTAACTTGACCCTGGAGCCTTCCAGTAAAGAGACCCTCGGTGAGGGCAATCTTCTAGCAGAGACCCTCGGTGAGGGCACGGACCCAAGAGGGAAAGCGCAGCGTGGGGATCTGAGGATGAGTGGAGGAGATTGGATGTTGAACTTTAGCTGACAATCTGCGAGGGCAATAGTCACGAGCATCTTTACACCGGCCCATCCTTGACTGTTGCCAGGGCATCGTCGCATTTGCCTGCCGTTTTTGATGGACGTTGAGGGCATTGTATAATTTGCCCTGCACTGTAGCCACGATAGGGGTGGGACTACCTTGCCGACGCCTGCAAATTTAACACTCTATGCCCTCGTGGGCTGCTCCACTTCTCTGTTTCTCTTTCCATCTCCTGCGCCGCTTAGTCAGCACTCAGGTAATTTTACTGCCCGGCCAATTTCATCGTACCCTCTCTGATTTCTTGCAGAAAGATCGCAACAGCTTCGTCGCTGATGTTTGCCTAATCCCACAAGGCGGCTGATGATGATGATGATGATGATGATGATGATGATGATGATGATGGTGGTGAAGGTGATGACGGGGTGATGGTGTGATGGTCATGATGATGATGCTGATGATAGTGATGATGATTGTTATGGTGATGATGATTGTGATGATGCTGCTGATGATGATGCTGATGATGATGCTGATGATGATAGTGATGATGATGCTTGTAACGATGGTTGTGGGGGGGCGGTGGTGATGATGACGATGACGATGACGATGGTGATGATGAAGATGCTGGTAATGACGACGATGATGGTGAAGATGATGATGATGATGATGATGATGATGATGATGATGATGATGATGATGATGATGATGATGATGATGATGATGATGATGGCGATGATGATGGTGGTGGCGATCATGATGATGAGGGTGATGATGATCATTGTGATGATTAGGTTGTTGCTGATGGTGATCATGAAATGATGGTGCTGATGGTGATGATGGTGGTGATGATGATTATCATGATGCTTCTGATGACGATGCTGGTGATACTGACGATGACGATGATGATGACGATGATGATAGCGACGACGACGATGATGACGATGATGCTGATGATGATGCCTAGGATGCCGTTGTTGATGATGATGAGGATGATGGTGATCATGATGGTGGTGGTGATGATGACGATGATGCTAACGATACTGATGATGACGATGATGATCGTGATGATGGTGATAGGGATGATGGTGATGATGATGGCGATGCTGATGCAGAGGGTGATGATGATTGTGATGTTGCTGCTGATGATTGTACTTATGATGATGATGGTGGTGATGATGATGATGACAATGATGCTGGTGATGCTGATGATGATGCTAATGATGATGATGGTCATGATGCTCATGATGCTGATGGTGATGCTACTGATGATGACGATGATGATGGTGATGATGGTGAGCATGATGAAGATTATGAAATTCATGCTGATGATGCGGATAATGTTGCCCATGATGAGGAGGATGTTGCTGATGATGCTGCTGATGATGATGATGATGATGATGCTGCTGATGCTGATGATGCTGATGATGATGTTCATCATCATGATTAAGATCATGACCATGATGGTATATTATGGTGATGATGATGATGATGAGGAGGAGGAGGAGGAGGAGGAGGAAGAGGAGAACGAGGAAGAGGAGGAGGAGGAGGAGGAGGAGGAGGAGGAGGAGGAGGAGGAGGAGGAGGAGGGTCCGTAGCCAGTTCGGCTCAAGTCCGTAGTGTTGCTCGAGGCTTGTCCAATTTTGGCGTGGGGATTCCGCGGCCCCAACAGTTTCCGTCTGCCGTGCAGGCACACATCACATCGGTATTGCACCTCTGCTGTCTCGCCTTCTTTTGCGCACCACCCACATCATGTATGATGCGCAGAGTTGGACTTGCACTAACACGATGTGTGGTTACAAATGTATTTTCCCATGGGGGGCCAGCTGCTGCATTAGCGGGCAGCAGCCGCGTCGCCCTGACGCCGCTCAGCAGCGGCCGCCGTCGGGCAAGTGGCAGAATGGGCCTCCGCGCAGTCAGCCTACTGGTCCTGTTCTCACAGATGAGTTGCTTGGGGCCTACGCCAATATGGACGCCAACGACTTCGATACCATGTCGTGCGCGAGCGGCAGCGGCGCGCAGCTTCGCGCAGCTTGGGGGCAGGGGATCCTGCTCCCACAGCGCGCGCCGCGCGACAGCAGTCTGATTCCTTCAGCAGAAGCTCGAGCAGGCCCAATCCAGATATGACAAGTCCGCTGTGGCCGCCGCCAAAGGAATGGAACACATGCAGCAGTGCGCCACGCACCTGGCTGAGCGCAAGGCGCAGGCGGACGAGGCCGCCAAGCGGGCTGCCCAAGCCTACGCCGCCATGTCTGCCAGTGCCGTTCCAGTGCCAGATCCCGCGGAGCAGCTTGAGAAGCTCGTTGCCAGCCTGCAGTCCGTCCTGCCCTCTGCCGCTGAGTTGCTCAAGAGCCATCGCCGCCAGCGTCAAAAAGGAGCCCTGCAAGTAGCAGCCCCCCCAGCCGCCTGCGGAGCAGCAGGCACCGCCAGCCGCGGCTCCTGTGGCGGGCAGTCCGTCTGGCGTTGGCGTGCCATTCGTCCCAGGAGCTGACTTCTGGGCTGAGTTCGGCAAGCCAGAGTTCTTCACCGATTTCCTCAAGGCTCAGGGCGTTCCCGTGGAAGGCGACGATGCCATGGATGAAGAACCTGAGGGAGCCAGCGCAGGGGCCGATGGCACCCAGCCTCCTCGGCCCAAGATCAGTCGCGCTCTCTTTCAGAACCTGCTGGCAGCCATGCAGGAGCAGAAGAGTAAGCGCAGTCGCGCATCATATTCCTCGTCGCGAGTTTAGCCAGTGGATATTCGTCACAATCACTGTTTCAGGCAGAGTTGGGCTCGGAGCCGCGCTCGGGTCCAAGCACGTTCTGAATGCAGATGCCGTCTGCATTCAGGAACATCGCTTTCTTCATTGTGAAGGTTGCAAGCAGCGTCTCCGACACAGGGGTTGGAGGGCCTCGGCTACGGCCGCAGTGCCCACAGGTCAAGGAGGCACGTCAGGAGGTCTCTTTCAGATGGTTCCGCATCGACATGGGCTCTCAGTGTTGCGCGGTCAGGATGCCGTGCTTGGGCCCGCTCGCATAGCAGTACGTCGCATGTCTGGAGTGTGCCCAGGCGGAGTGTTATGGGCTACAGTCTACATGCACGACGCGGTCGGTCTCGCGCCCATCAACTAGCATTTGCACAGCGGGCGCCCTGGTCAGGTCCTTCGGCATGCCGTTCATCCAGGCGGGAGACTGGAACCTCAGCCCCGAAGAGCTGTCGGGTTCGGGTTGGGTGCAGGCACTCTCTGGGCACATCCTGGCGCCCACTTTCAACGCGTGCGCGAGTGGTCATGGCCGGGTTCTCGACTACTACGTCGTGTCCGAGGGCTTGCAGTATGGCCACCAGCTCACAGTGCTCACGGATGTGGGCACCACTCCACATTTTCCAGTTCGGCTTCAGCTCCCTGGTCTTCGGCAGCTCCCCACTCTTCCTCAAATGCGAGTTCCGCGCGCGTTTCCACGGCAGCGTCCGCAGGGGCCGCTGCAGGAAAGCAGCCGCTGGGCAGCAGTCACAGACAAGGTGCTCGCAGAGGCTGGCGCTCTGGAGCTGTGGGTCAGTTTCGCTCAGGCCATGGAGCAGGAGTTCCCGAGCATCTACCGGGTTCCGCAGGACGAGGCCCGCGTGCACGTAGGGCGGGCGAAGCCACTAGTTCGTCAGCGCCAACAGGCCAAGAGGCCGCCGCGCTGCCTTTTCCGCGCATCTCTCCTCGCGCCACATGGTGGCGACTCGCAGTGCAAGCGTTTCCTGAGCTAGGAAAGCAGCAGCCTGCTGCACAAAGGCGGGCCTCGCTTGCCCTGTGCAGTAAGCTTGCGGCCCGAGGAGGGAGGTTCACCGATGCCAGCGTCCCGCCTAGGGTGCTTTTGCTGGAAGTGGCGCCTTCGCTCTCGGGTGACCTCGCGGCGGCTGTTGCCGTGCAAGCCAGACAGCAAACTGGCGGAGCCCAGAGAGCCGCTGAACATCAGAGAGACTCCAGCTGGGGGAGCTGGGTCAAGTCGCACACTAATTCAGGAGGGGGGGGGGCCTTCTACCAGATTTTCAAGCCAGCCACGCCGTGGCACAGCAATAGCTTGGCGCCGACAAGTTCCCCTCGTTTGGCTCCTGCGAACCAAGGGCAGGAAATGGAGCTCTTGCTTCAAGAATGGGGTTCTTACTGGGAAGTCGGCATCCTGCAAGATTCACTCCTCTGGCCCGCAGACATGGGGCCAGAGCTCCCGCTTTTCAGCTTAGACCAGCTCAGGAAGGTGCTTCGCAGTTTCAAGGCCTGCAGTGGTGCAGGC